ATAAATAGCTTTTATCTGCCAATTTGGGATGATTTTATTAATTACCATTATTCTACATGTTGTATATTTCAGCATTGTACATATTAGGACGGAAAGAAAGATAGAAAGAAGTCACGCGTAGTTGCACTTTGAAGTTTCGAAGAATTCGCTGCGTACTGCCTCGTACGACTACGCTTGGTTATGCGGGCCGCCACCCGCGTGGTATGTACTGTTGCTATGTCATATCGTGCCCACGCGAATGCATTCGGCTACGCGTGGTCCTATTTTTTTTGACACTCCGGGCGCGAAATTCGGTTTCTCGTGCATGTTTAGCGGGCGCAAAATAGCACATTCCCGCCCTAGGGCGGAAAATGATATAATGACAACTTCAATGGCTTTTGTTATCGATTAAACAAACTGTAGGCTCTTACAATGTTCCGTACCAGTACAGTGTAGGATAAGATGGTAAGACATTGTACGAGTATGGTAAATGCCAGCCGGAAACGCGAAGAACTTTGTAAGGTATACGGGCAGCCCGATAACGACGGCAACGTCTAAAAATCTCGAGACGTGCTGCGTTTCGGGAACGTTTTTAAGACAGTACAGCTCTGGACGTGGAAGAAGCTGGTCGCGACCCGATTAAATATATATCTTTAATATACTAACGCAGTGTCGGTCATTTTTCTCCTGATTCCTTTCCACAATAGTCTTTTTTCAGGGCTACGAATTTCTACATAGACTGAATATAAATATAAAACTTGGCATAATTCAAATTACCCGACAGTCCTCGTTCGAGTTGTACCAGAAGTGGGCCGGAAGTCGCAGCCCTGGCCTCTTCCATGTTAGCAACGTCGTATTCAATAGTCAACGAGGCGACAGGAGCATCCGAGCTCCTCCTGAGCGCTCGCTGAGCTTCAGCCAGAGTCAGGCCTCTCAATTCCGTATCGTCGACAGCCAGCAATCTGTCCCCAGGTCTCACCCTGCCTTCTTTAGCAGCCGGTCCGTCGGATTTCACTCCGGTCACCACTAAGGCTCTGGAGACACCGCCTCTGAGGGTCACTCCCAGGCTACCTCCTTCCCGTTCCACTCTGACCTGAGCTACTTTAGAAGAAACACTCGACGGAGTACACATGGAACTGTCCTGGTCGTCCAGCAACAGGAAACTGTGTGGATGATAGGAATGCGGCGAAATCTCGTCGGGCCTGACTGAATCGGAGCTGGCGGACGTCGCCACGCTTCCGGGCCTCGCGCGATTCTTGTGCGAGCGCATGGTAGTCAGTCTTAGCGAGCTGAACATCGTTCAGGATCTTATTATCCTATAAAAATCCTTACCATCACTGCGTGAACGTTTCCAACTCGAGATTCTGACCGGAGAATCGTTTCGGTACGATTAAATATGTTTTGTCAATCATTCAAAAATTGTGGACATATTTTTTTAAATAATTATCACTGTTTTATATGTCTATCGTTGTTGAGTGGATTGATTTTACAGTGTCTGCGCTGAATAATTCTGTAACTATGCCTGCGACTTGAAACCGGATCTATTTTTACGAATATTTTGCACACACGTATTTTCTCGAACACGTTCTATGTCATCCTAATTCCGTTCTACGTCTTCCTGTCGGAAATCTTCTCGTAGGCACTTATATACATCGATCCAGAATGAGTAAATCGAAAATATAGTTAATCGTTGAATTCGAACGAATTTCTTCTCACTTGGGACACTCGTCGTTTATACTAAATCACAAGAAATAATCATTTTTACAGAAATGCTGTGAAACAATATCGGTCAGAGATAAATGAATTCTCAGAGAATTGGAAAAACCGATTAAATGAATTATCTAATTGTTTATAATTGGGGATCGTAAATCGGCTCGTTTGTTGGCCGTTATCACCGGATTCTTGTTGCTCGCGGTGTAAACAGGGCCGGGGCGGGCTTTGTTCGCGGTATATCGCGTCCGGCGCGGAGATGAAGAAGACTCGTCGCGGAGAGAACTTACGGAGAACTGTAACGAGTGCCGGCGATGGCTTGTCGAAAATAGCCAGCACGATGTAGGGCCGCAATCGTGGTAGCGTCGCTGCTATTTATAGGAGTATCGTGAAAGTGTGCGACCGGCCCTGCAGCCTGCCGTCCGATACACTGTTCCTCAAAAGTACGACTTGCCAGTTTTTTTCAAAATCGTTAACACTAGAAAGACTGAAACTTAGTATATACCTATATTGC